ATTGGCTTCTACTTCAAGAAGGCTCACAAAGCAACTCCATGAGCTGGCTCAAAGCTGATGTATATAGTCCAAGCTACAAGCATGGTGTAGGCTTAAAAGATCTATCATCTTAGCTTCCCATGACCGTAGGGTGTCTCAGTGGAGTACTAGTGAAGGCAGGCAGGGTAAGAGGACTGTTTCAAAGGCCTTTGCTTCTGAGTTCAGGGTTTCATCCATTGGGAGGGCATTGTGGGAGAGCCTGTCTGGGAGAACCTCATGGCAGGGAGACATGAAGTATGGGGAAAAATGCAGGTGTCTGCAAGACCTACCTGTGCCATAGGTATAAGCTTACCCCTGTATTGCTAAGGAATCTCTTCTCAGTGCAGTGGAACCTGCCAGGGACCACCTTTCTAGCCTGGATAAGGATGATCCTGAAACACAGCTGGAGCAATAGGGAGGGGAGCAGTCACATAAAGATGGTGGCTCTTAGGGCAGGTAGTATTGCTGTGAGGTGGTAGGGGCCAGGAGGGGTTAGCAGGTGTAGTATAGACAGGCTTTGCACTACAGGACTGTCAGGGAAGCAAATTGCTAAGTGACCATGCTGCATCTCCTAGCCCATACACTATCCATTTGGCTCTGTGCCATAGCCCCCATTTGGCACCAGTCCCAGGGTGTGGAGCCTGCAGTGTTAATCAGCTGTATGGATGGCTGTTGAGCCAGGCCTTCCTTAACCTACTGATGATCTGGATTCTGTCCTTGATGGTCACTCTATGCTGAGAGCTCAGCCAAGTGTTTTGTGCTTCTGCCCCAGGAAGTGTGTGATGGGGTAAAACACCCCTGGGCTGGTCACCAAACCAAAACCTACAAAAGGTATGTAGGGGCAGCTGAGTCTACAGCCAGGTCTGTGATAGGGCATGGAGTACCCAGCTAGCTCCGAAACAGCGGAATGGAGGGAAAAGGGCCTGTCTCTGCAGAAGTGCCAGACAGAAGCCAGCCCCCTCCCTGCCAAGCTCAGTGTCACCCACCCTTCAGCATACTCACCATTGGGGACCTTGGTCACGTAGAGACATGTGATCACCCAAGCCTGAGAAGCTGATCCTACCTGCAGCTTCTCCTGTCCCCTCACCTCTCTGGCCTTGGATTTTTGCAGTTCACAAGCTGTATTGAGTGTGAGCAGGATAGGTTCCCTCAGACTCATCTGGCACTGGCCAGTACCACAGTCAAGATACCAGAGGTGACAAGCCAGTAGGCCAATCCAGTACAGCAGGTCTGCTTGGCTGTATCATGGTTCAGATGGATTGGGACTGAACTTGGCCCTTGTGGAGCAGGCAGGCAGGATGACACCCCATTTCTCCAGGGGACACTTGTGGGCCCCAGCTACCTGGAGCCCTGCTCCTGGGGGAGGAGGATGGGCTGGTCCACGGGCCCTTGTGGCACTATGTTTGTTTTCAGCTCCAGAGGTGACACATTCAGTTATGCATAAAAGTGGGAGATGGGTAGGCCAGGTTCCAGGTCTCAGTGGGTGTCTTTACATGTGTAAGTGTAGGGGGACTGGGCCCAATGATCTGTAACGACCCTTCCAGCCCCTAACAACTATGAAACTGTGAAGCTATGTGCTCTTGCTTGGGTGCTTTGATTAGAGTGGCTCCAAGTGTCTTGTGCATCAGCATTCAATGAGCTTTAGTTAAAACTCCCCCACCGCCATTTTGAAGCACGGGGACACTGAATAGATTTGATGCGTTAATTAATTCAGCAGACTGTTGTATCGAAGCAGACATCCGGCATGTGTATAGGTGCCCAGTGTGCCCCAGCTTCTCATGTGCCCCTCAGTAAGATAGCGCATTACTTGCTGGCTCACCTGTACAAGGGGTTGTGGTGACTTCCTCCCTGGTCCTGTGGCTGGGGAGCAATGGGGCACTGACTACTGGGTGAAATGCTGATTAATCAGCAGAAGCCAGCCTCAAAGGGCCTCCTCGTGCACATACTTATCAGTCAGTACAAGTTCAAACAGCCCAAATGCTGTCAGCATTGAGACTTTCAAGGGCTGGATTCCTCTGCCAAGGGCTCCCCCAGCCCACCCCAGAGGACCCCTGTCATCTTGACCTACTGCCTCTAAACAAACCTGCTCTAATGAGCTGGATGACATGGGGATGTCTCCTCTTCCCTCCCCTGGTGCCTGATTGCACTAATCAGTTCATTTCAGTGCTCACAGCATGACAGAGATGCCTGGAGCACTCAGTGATAATAACCCACTCCCCAGGGAGGTTTCTGATTTCACTGGTTATCATATCACCCCTGTACAGAGGAAGAAGCTGAGGCATGGCAAGGTTAAGTGACTCGCATATGGCCACACAAAGAATCAGCAACAGAGGTGGAAACAGTCTGGGAGTCCTACCTCCCATGCCTACCCTGCACTGCCAGGGCACTGTCACCTCACCCCAAACCCTAACTGGCAGAGAGGCTGTGGCTGCTGCACTGTTCTGCATTGTCTGTCACTGCTGGAGCCAGTGAGACCTGCTCAAGGGCTATCAAGGATGCCATCCTTTAATGGCAAAGGCATTATTATGCTTGCAACAGAGGAGTTGTCCATCAGGTCCAGAGTTCAGGTTACATTGGCAGGACATAGCTAGTGACAACTGTGGCTGTCTCTCTGTCCAGGGCTGTTTTCCTGTGTCCTTCATTGGGCATTTTTTAGGCCCCTTACAGTAGTACGTGAATGCCTGGTGAGCCTTTGAGGAGTAAGATGGATGCCCCTGTGCCCTGGCAGCTGCCACAGCTGTCTGAGAGCCCTGCATTTGGTCCACTGTGCCCCTTGGCTTAGAGGACTGACTCTGCAGTACCTTCCCTTTGAGCTCAACAGCTGGCATTCCAGCCTGTAGCTGAGCGCTATTACAGCCCCAGGAAGGAAGGATTCGCCCTGATGGCCTTTGCCAGCTGGGGCAGGGATGTGCTAGACTTTCAGCTACCAGCGTTTGACCCCCACAGTTGTATCCTGGCTTCAGGCCTTCAACTGCTGGACAGAACAGACTCTCAGACTCTGCTCAGCCTGGGCTACGGTCACAGATGAAGTTTAAAGAAACACAGCCCCCCAAGCCTGTAAGCGTCATGCTGTAAAATGCAGCTGGTCTCTGTCCCTCCAAGCAGGGGAGGCCGCCTGTGGGCCTAGGGCCACACACCTTGCAGTGTTCAGAGCAGCTTCCTGCTGGCAGCTTTGTCTGTGGAAAATGGTACGTTCTTTGCTGGGGTCCCAGTGGGCCTGGTGAGGCACAGACTCAGCCAACAGGCTCCTCCAGCCTGTAAAGAACCACCTGATCCATTACCGAGCACAGGCCCGGTGTACTCTGCAATCTGGCTTCCAGCAAACCGCATAAAAAAATTCTCTTTGTCCCTGTACCATCCCTCCTTTCATCTCTACAGTGAGGTCTCAATCTCCCACACAACCCAGCATGCACTATAAGCTGTGGAGCTAGTGGGAAGTGTCCCCTGGGAAAGTGACACTATCCTGACCTTTTGCATTATAGGCTATGCTTCTGCCCATTCCTCGCCCATTATCCCCTTGCTCTGTGTCACATCTTCCGGGGCAGGCATGGTGTCTCCCTGGTCCAGAAGCACTTTATGTTGCTCCAACGTTCCAGCTGAGAGGTTTGTGGCCTTAATGCCCAAGTGTGGATTTCTGAACATCCCTTTTAAATGGGCCAGGTTTGCAACGCCTAAGCAGTGGTCAGGTGTTTCCAGAGCTCTCAAGTGGATCTTCGCTCTGGGTCAAAAGTGATCTTCGCTCTGGGTCTGATGCCACAGGCCCAGGCCCAGAACCTGTGTCTCAGAACTTCTCCCAGGTTGGTGCTCAGTCCATACTTCTCAGCCTCCCTTTCTGCCAAGTACCACCCTCATTGCTGCTTGCAAGTGAACCACCAGCTCTTCCCAGCCTGCTGTTTGCTCTGCATTTTATCTCCCACCTCACCCAGCCCCCGCCCCCGCCAAGAGCAGATGTGTAAATCCTCCTCTGCAGCAGCCTTCTGTCTTTGAAGTGTCCTGCCCATACCAGGCTGGGCTCATTAGGGCTTTACAGCCTCCCTCCCCTGGATGCTCCAGGAAGCAATTCCCATGCTAGCTGGGCCAGCAGTAATGACAATCCAGCATAATGCATGTGGTGCCACAGAGTGCCAGAACTGTGCCCCTTTCCCTGAGCTCTCCTCCCATTGGTCCCTCTCCAGTTCAGCTTGCCAACATGCTAGACTCTAATCTCCGCCCCTCATGCCCTTCTGAACCGATGCCACGTGCTGATCCTTCAGAGAACTGTCTTGGCTGACTGGAATAGTTCTCAGTTTCCCTCCCCCACCGGCCCATAGGCAGCCTCCCTGCCTCCTGCCAAGTGTTTGTTGGTAGAGACCAGCGGGGCACCCTGCACTGAGACACCTGATCTGAGTTTGGGGGAGGGGGAATCAGCCTGTGGAGCACAGGGAGTTAAAAATAACAGGTAAATAAAATCAAAGCAATGGAAGAACAGGAGTGAGAGCCAAGCCCACCCCCCGCACCCCCTCTTGGACTGGATTGTAAACAGCTCTGCCCTCTCCTTTGTGCTGTGCCCAGAGCTGGGGCAGGCCTGGAGGGGCCCCTTTCTGCTAGAAATATCGATGTGTATTAGGGCAGCAGCACCCAGTGAGATCAGGTCTCCCTTGTGCTCAGCTTACCTAACATCAGTCCCTGCCCCTTGTTTCTCTGGGGCTGCTGGGGCTGTATCTCACTGCAGCATGGAGAGTAAGGCAGAGGATCTCCCTGCAGCCTTGCCATAGTAGCTGGCTAGACCAGACAGCAAATGAATTCCTGGGGAGTGTTGACACTGCCAGTGAGGCCACAAAGCAGGTGTGGCTCCATTGTGGAGGCTAGGTGTTTGTGAGAACAAGGGGCAGGCTGGTGGGCAGAAACCAAAGGTGAAAGGTTCCCTGTCCGCTGCCCAGCCAGCCCCTGGGCTAGCAGGTCTAGAGAGGACTCAGTGCACGGTGTTGGTGCCTCCCTTGCAGGCCTGGCTCCGGCTCTATGGCTACCTCCCACAGTCCAGTCGGCAGATGTCCACCATGCGCTCGGCTCAGATCTTCAGCTCCGCCCTCTCCGAGATGCAGAGGTTTTATGGGATCCCAGTGACAGGCATCCTGGATGAGGAAACCAAACTGTGAGTTCCCTTGGGGCTGCCCATCTGCTTGCACAGCAGGTGGAGAAGTAGGACCCTGCCCAGAGACAGTCCCAGAGACTGCCCAGCCCAGTGGTGTGGCTGGCCCCAGGAGTAGATGGAATGGGCATCAGCCTAGGGCTCTTTCC